TAATTATTGCCTGGATGGTATCTTGTGAGTGAGTTTTATGTGTAGGAGTCTGGAAGTAAGGTTGAGAGCTTACATTTTATTTTCTCCTCTAAAGTCCCTCGAAGGAAAACAGACAGCCCCTCAATCCATTCTTTCACACTGACTGAGCCATCGTTGTCTTTGTCAAATGTCCTGAAGACTGGAGGGCATTTAGTAACAAAGTAACAAACCATTACTGAGTAGGCCATCTAGAGGGTACGGAAAGTATTCAGACCCCTTTACATTTTTCACTCTACATTTTCACACTACATTCTCATTAATGTACACTCAGCACCCCATGTTGACAGAAAAAAAACAGAAATGTAGAAATTTTTGCAAATTTATTAAAAAAGAAAAACTGAAATATCACATGGTCAGTATTCAGACCCTTTGCTGTGACACTCATTTAACTCACATGCTGTCCATTTCTTCTGATCCTCCTTGAGATGGTTCTGCTCCTTCATTGGAGTCCAGCTGTGTTTAATTAAACTGATTGGACTTGATTAGGAAAGGCACACACCTGTCTATATAAGACCTTACAGCTCACAGTGCATGTCAGAGCAAATGAGAATCATATCACTGCAGCCCTCCACCAGTCGGGGCTTTATGGCAGAGTGGCCCGACGGAAGCCTCTCCTCAGTGCAAGACATATGAAAGCCCGCATAGAGTTTGCCAAAAAACACATGAAGGACTCCCAGACTATGAGAAAGAAGATTCTCTGGTCTGATGAGACCAAGATTGAACTTTTTGGCTTTAATTCTAAGCGGTATGTGTGGAGAAAACCAGGCACTGCTCATCACCTGCCCAATACAATCCCAACAGTGAAACATGGTGGTGGCAGCATCATGCTATGGGGGTGTTTTTCAGCTGCAGGGACAGGACGACTGGTTGCAATTGAAGGAAAGATGAATGTGGCCTAGTACAGAGATATCCTGGAAGAAAACCTCTTCCAGAGTGCTCAGGACCTCAGACTGGGCCGAAGGTTCACCTTCCAACAAGACAATGACCCTAAGCACACAGCTAAAATAACAAAGGAGTGGCTTCGGAACAACTCTGTGACCATTCTTGACTGGCCCAGCCAGAGCCCTGACCTAAACCCAATTGAGCATCTCTGGAGAGACCTGAAAATGGCTGTCCACCAACGTTCATCATCCAACCTGACAGAACTGGAGAGGATCTGCAAGGAAGAATGGCAGAGGATCCCCAAATCCAGGTGTGAAAAACTTGTTGCATCATTCCCAAGAAGACTCATGGCTGTACTAGCTCAAAAGGGTGCTTCTACTCAATACTGAGCAAAGGGTCTGAATACTTATGACCATGTGATATTTCAGTTTTTCTTTTTTAATAAATTTCAGTTTTTTTCTGTCAAGATGGGGTGCTGAGTGTACATGGATGAGAAATAAAATGAACTTTTTTGATTTTTAGCAAATGGCTGCAATGAAACAAAGAGTGAAAAATGTAAAGGGCCTGAATACTTTCCGTACCCACTGTATATTCTGTCAGTTAGAATCAAATTGAAATATTTGCCGTCAAGCACATTTGTCTCCTGCATACAAGGGTCCCAAGCAAATGTAAGAATATATATATATTGATCATACCGATACCTCCATCCATTATCATGTAGTCGGTCATCCCAAACATGTCGTGCAGTATGCTCCTGAACCTCCCTCTGTCCAGTCCGCCTGCTGTATTTTTAGAGATATTCTGCTCCACAAGATAATTAAATCCTCGAATAAGGCATTCAACTTCCGTTTTATTGACTGGAGTAAATCAAATAAAGTTGTATTAGCCGAAATAAACTACAGGTTAATGCAAGCAAGTGGAGCTCATTTAAAACAAAGCTGCAACATCTAAGGCAAATCGAAAGTTGTTTAGAGCAGCTTAGCATCATGCTAACGTATAATATGCATTTTAAATAAATACTTACAGTGCTTCACTTGTTTTGAGATTGTTTCAGCGAGAGCTTGAATCAGCTTTCTGTTTACAGATGACATTTCTGACATTTAAAGTCTGTCACGGTGCCGGACAGGATTAGCACGAGACCTTTAACAACAGCTGTGTTGACGGTAGGTTGCCTTGACAACCGCGTAGCCATTCATGCTTTTAAAGTTGAAAGTTCAGTTTTTGCTCCAGTATACAACCTACACGAGCTAATGGGTGTCTGTATTTCCATCCTTGCTTGAGGATATGATTTCCACTTTTATAGCATTGATGTGTCAATTAGGCCTACACACTTTAACATGAACATCCTCCTTTGTCCCATAAGGTTTATTTATGGGCATAGGCCGTGATATCCCATCACTGCAGCACTCATGAAGTTAACTACTTCTTAAAACACTCCTATGCTTAAACTCATTTAACCTGTGGGTACAGCCATGTGCTTTGTCATAACAAAAAGAAAAAAATAAATTAACTTTTTCTCACACATGGGGCAGCTGAACAGTTTCTCTTCTGTGTATTCTTTAATTAAGTAGGCACCACTTTATACAACTTTTGCCACACACAGTACACATTTAAATACCTGAATGTGTGGACGTGGTGGAGTTCACTTACAAACAAAAATAACATAAAAACTACCTTAATTATGTAAATGGAGTCCCTGTTTAGTCTCATGCTGTTCACTGATCTGTTTTTCCTCTGTTATCGTCCTGTGCACAGCAGCACAGATCTCCTGCTGTCACACTGATAATAATAACTGATAATAACCTCAGCAGCTGCAGCCTGGATATCTTCAACAACCTTCTTACTGTAATACAACATTTCTACAAGCTCCAGGTGATAGTAAGGTAAATACATCTGACTACAACCTTCAGAATAAAAGGATCAATGCAAAAATAATTACAATTAAAACTTGTAAGTCAAAAAAAAGTAGGTTACAAAAAGTCTTAAAAGTGTTTTTTAATCATTTTTCAGATGCAGAACTGGAAACCTCACTAAATTAATTTGCTTTCATATACATTATTTTAATTCAATCAGTGTTCACATTTATTAGGAGGGCAAATTCTATTATTTCTCTAAAGGCTAATAGAGTTCATGTAAAAATGTATGGATTGATCAAAATAATCCAAAAACCATTGGTAAAATATGTCTGTACTTACTGAACATTGTAAAGACATTCTTAAAGAATGTCTGTTCTCTTTGATACACCAGAAATGTTCATGGTAGTGGAGCACAAATATTTGGTATCGAGTCAACAAAAAAGATACACCTGTTTTCCTACAGTTAAGGAAATTCATGATATACAATTGCCTTCTCAAGACTTTATTTTGGAAGGGGAATAGCAATACTTCCGGTCTCACGCCAGTAAGAGACAAGAATCAAAATACCGCTATCTGCTGGACTGGAGTCTGGACATTTATTAAGACACTGCCCAATGTTGAATTGGAGGATGAATAAACAACAGTTTGTTCTGATATAAAGAACAATAAAAGAAAAGGGTGAGTGTAAATCAACGGACATTAAACCTCTGTTCTCATGCTCGTGCTCGGTATTCTCCACTGTTGCCATTTTCATTTGCCCAGAAAAAAGTCAAGGAAAGAAGTATAAAGTCTGACCACAAGGTGGTAGTCAGCTTACTCTCCTATCTTCATTTTCTCTGTGTAGGAGAGGAAACAGGAACACTGAATGATTCATCAATATTGGTTTGTTATTTAATTAATAAAATACAATAGATTAAACATTAAGAATGTTTTTCAAAATTAGACACAGAGTGATTCAAAACATGAAAGTAAAACATTTGAAATGTAGACGGATCTTATTTAGAAACTACTTTTTTTCTACAACATGAATTCACAACATTGCCACACTACTGCCTCCTTTGTGTGAGTGTACGTACAGTATATAAAAAAAAAACAGCAAATCATTGTGACACAGAGGTTAAGTGCACTTAGTGCTTAGTGTCCTTGCATTTAACTCATTATAGAAACATATAGAATGTATCATGTGTGTATGTGTACAAAGAGTGTGTGTGTCACTCTGATCGGTGTGTGAGGTTTGTTCTGATTGGTAGTGTTGCATCAATCCAGTGGTTTGGGTTTGTGATCATGGAGGTCCACACAGCGACCTCTTCCACTGTAGAGTCCATCCAGCTGACATCCTCCCCATAACTCTGACCTGACAACAACAAAAACACACAGGTATTATACATGATTCATTTTGAAGACCACAAACATCTTTACAGCTTACCAAACAGCAGGGTCGGCACAATAGCAGAATTTTAAACTTAGATATGACACTAGTGAAAATGAAAACGATATCAATACCTGTTTAGATACCACAACAACACAAATATGTCCAATGTATTTTTGCAATTAAAAAAAGTCAAGTGTGATCACTTATAATCCGGTTTAATCGACCATTGAATTTAAACAGACAAGCGCTGCTATCCGTCTTTCTCTCACAGCAGCTTTTGGTTTAAAATATGACTGAAGATCTGTAGTTTTTAAAAGCTCTGATACTTTTGCATACAACAGAACCTTAAAATATCAGATACTGTACTGTTGTGAAACACATGGTGGTGAAAAAGTATAAAGTATCAAAGTACTGAACATTTTGACAACCTTACCACAGAGAGACAAATTATGTTTTTTCTTATTAAGGCCATTTAAACAAGCCCAACAAATGATCATTCTGCCGTATAACCAGCCATGTATGCCTTTTTTCCCTTCACAATATATTTAAAATCCAAGAGACAACACCTAAAAGATTGACTGACAAATCCAAAATCACAGCCTCTATGCTATAAGCACAAAAACAAAAGGATCCCAAAACTGAACTGAAAACAAGAATTATAAGCAAAACAACACCATCAACAACAACAACGAGGAAAACAACTTCACTTATATAAATGATCTGAAATGAAATGTGTTTACCACATTGGTGTTAAACTTAACCCTGTTCTGCCACCAGCCCAACATACGATATTTAGCATTGCACAGTCATACTGAGACACTCTCTGGTGACCCAAAATTGACCTCGCTCTGATGACAGGACCATCTGAAATGCCTGAAATACTGACGGGACAAAATGCAAAGTAGAGCACTGGACTGAAACCCTGTCACCATAAAGCTTCCAAACGCCACTGTAGCATGAAGCATAACACTGCCTTTATGGCTCCATCTACAAAGCGGACCATAAAATAAACCAGCCAGACAAACATCACCTTTAATGTGACATCCCTGTGATACAGAGAGCGCTCTCCTCCAAGCAAACAGAATGTCAAGGGACTCATAAAAAAACATTTAATCTGTAATCAGAGCTCGGCTCAGGCGACAGGGTTACATGTCACAGCAAAGTTACATTTGAAACTATGAAAACTTTGTGTCATTAGAATGCCAACACAGAAGAGCAAAATATGGACTGCTACTTTCAGAACAAAGTAAATAAAGGTGTGTTGTCCCTTTATCTGTTATATCCTATGCTACAAAGAGCGTCACTATAACAAATAAGGGCGAGCCCTATAAAATGACCAATCATTCCATTTATCACTTTAGTATGAAGAGAATGAAACAAGCAAAACAACGGGGAAAAACCACACAAGGGTTTTTAGTAAAATCATCAATATTTGCTCGAGAAAGCATTTGTTTAATTCTGGATGTACATACTTTTATGACCCACTAATTAAATCCTTGTGGCCCCTAATCCTGAATAAATCAGCTATGTAAATGCAACAACAACAAAAAAGCTACACTGTATGTGCTATTACTGTTTTTATGGTATGTTAGCTGGGTCTAATGCAAACCTAATCCTTCACAAAGAGCCACAAAGATGAAGAATCTCTTACATAATAATCCTGTACAGAATCTCACAAATGTCATTCTGTCTTAATAAGGGCTAAACGGTGCGACTGTAAAGTGGCTGGTCACTCTTATTTCAGACAACAGTAGCAGAGAGAAACACTCACCAGTTCCACAGCTCAGACGAATCCCTCCCAGCACGTGTGATTTTAACCCTTCACGCTGCCACACAGTCAGCTCAGCACAGGCCTCTCTCATGTCGCTGGTGTGGAAGCCGTCGTAGACCATAGTGTGGTTGTATGTGGGGCTGATGGAGCGCTTTGTCATCCGCGTCTTCTGCCCACTCTGCCGACTAGCATCTGGGAGGATGAAGCTTTAGGGATGTGGATTAGGATTAAAGACAATTACGTTCAGATACAAAACAGAATCTGTTCATGTTAATATTTTGGATATATAAGGTTAAATGTAATAATTCAATGTTTTTTTACAGATCTAAAGGGTTAATTTGGGGATTTTAATGCCTTTATTTAGAGACAGGGCAGTGAATAGAGTAAGAAATTGAGGAGTGTCATGCCGGAAAGGTCATATTGTAAAAGTATAAATTCTGTTATTTTGCAGAACTGACACACCTTCTAACAAAGGAGTCTATAGCACCTCCTTTGTTGGACAGGAGACCGTGAGCCTCCCGAAGCCAGATGTGGAGCTCTCCTGTTAGAGGCAGACCGCCACCTTAACACACACACACACACACACAATGCATGAGATACAGGTAATTACTGTGGAACATTACTGTAATCCACAAAATATGTGCTCTGCTCACCCTCATATCCATCTGGGATGAACTTAATCGAGAGCACGATGGTCCCACGGCTGCTAATGGAGTCTGGATTCAAATGAACCTGAGATGAGGGGAGAGTAGAGAGGAGGAAAAGATTAAGAGATGGAAAAAAAGAGGGAAGGAGGCGGGAGGCAGAAGTGTGGAGGCAGGAAGATATTACGGTTACATAAAACTTAGTTGAAATTCACAGCATGTCTTCCTCTCCCTTCACAGCTCTCCCAGACACCAGAGACACCCCTCCCTGTTTTCTGTGTCTGCAACAAAGCTGCCAAATCTGCTGCTACACAAACACTCTGATACGAAACAACAGTAGATGTCGGCTCTGGAGTGTTGGAAATATTTGTTTGTGGTTATTCAAAAATGATCTTGCATCTTTTTATGTCTGATCTTGCTTACCCTGGGTTGCAGGTCTTGCCAAAGTGGTTGAGTGCAGCTCCAGTCCCAGAGGCCCAGAGCGGCCTCCACCTCCCCCAGAAACACGTTCCTCCCCAGGGGCTCAGCGTGCCACACGGACAGGTTCAAGGTCCGGCTTGGTAACTCTCCCTTACGCACTTTATACTGTAAGACGAGATCCAGAATGAGACAGGAAATGCACGGATGGGAGTGAGACGTGCGGGAAATGTTCTCAACCACACTTTAAAGATCCTGTGAGAAGCTTCCAGTCAGTATCACATCTGATGTACTTTTCCTGTACACGTGTAAGTAGTGTTTTCTGACAAAAACATTTTTTTTTAACAGTCAAATGTATCTCTTAGTGAGATCTTTGCCATGGAATAGGTAAAAAAAAAGTGGTTTATTCTTCATGCTGCAAACCACTTTATCTAAACCCTGCAGTGGTTTTAAGCATTAACAATAACAATATAGAAAATAATCTATCTTTTTCCTGATGGTCTTGTTTCTTTTTTTACGTCATTAAGAAACATCAGTATTGATTTAAGTCAGTTGCATAACCAGCTAAAAACCCTTCACAGGAGCTTTGGTAGTGTATTTTATACACTGCAGAAACACTGGTGCCTCACTCGGAGCGTCTGATCATAGACAGGGTTCACTGTCTTCTTCTTCACTGAGGTTTTCTTCTTACTTTGACTCGACTTGTCGGGCAGGAGATAGGATTTAACATATCTGGAGAAAAACACACACACACACACACACACACACACACAGATAGATTACGACTGGCTTTGGTGTGCGTCATTGCAGATGCAAAATATACATCCACCTGCACTGTCACTCACGGATCAGAGCGATTCTTGCGTGCCAAGGCGATGTCCTCACAGCGATTCACTTTCACCTGCAGCTCCTCCTTCTGGGTGTCGTAAACCAATGAGAACAGAATACGGCCCCTCACCTCCACTAATCCAAAATCCCCTGAGCTGAACAGACTCATCATGCTCCCAGTGAGCTATAACGCACACACGCGCAGACACACACACGCACACACACAGCAGAAATCAGCTCCTGCGTCATTGTCCTCTGCTGAGTCATCTTGCGTCGCCGGATGGACAATTAATCAAAAGTGCTTATGTGTGCATGAGTGTACACATTTGTGAGTGTATGTATGTGTGTGTGTGTGTGTGTGTGTGAGTAAATGTATATGTATATGTGTGAGTGTAGGTACCATGTAGCCCGACTGAAGACTGCCAGTGGAGCTGCTGTTTTTCAGAGAAGCTGGCTCTGTCAGGCTGCTGCTCAGAGAGTCATAGTCCCCGTAGTCTTCCTGAGCGCACACACACACGCACACACACACACACCCATAACTCTTAAACACATCATCTATCAATTATTACCGTCTTCCTTTTCGCACATCATCGAACAATGCATGAAAAAAATGTTTGAAGAAGTAACTCATTTATGCTGCATTCATGTTTTATCAGAAAAATCAGAAAAAAAGAAAATCCCCCCAGGTTAAAACATCTGGAACAAAAATCAGAGCCATGTTATGCAAAGGAATGACGGACAAGAAACGTTTTATAATTTATAGTTGTATTAAGATGTTTTGGTCACGTGTCATTTTTTGACACAATATTTAGCTGCTACCATTAGCTGATTTCCATAAAGTACATTATTTCTGAGAAATGAAATGCAGCACATCTTTTTTTGTATCTTGTATATTGTTTCAACGTTACCACTTAAGTTTTGTGAACATTTCAAAGTCAGAGAAACAGTTTTTCACTCAAATAAATGGGATATCTGAGGAGTGTTATTCCAGGTTTAAAAGGAGTCGTTGTCATTATGTTTAAATAGATTGTGGATTAATTTACCGTTAAAACCAGAACTGCTACTTGGTGTAATCTGCAAATGTGGGAATGTGTGTTATAATCACCTCAAGATCCTCTGAGTGGCCATTACTTCTTTCATACTCTATGAAGGAATAGAAAGAGTTAAATATCACACTTAGAGATGGCCAGGAAGTTACAGAAGCACTGAGGCACTGAGTTAGAGGTTTTCATACCTTTGGATGAGGAGGAACTATTTCTAAACGGGAGACCCTGAAAGTGGAGATGATTATTTATATTTAGAGTATCTTTTTAAGCATAGGAAAAGATTTTTAAAAAGTCATGCGCACACTGACCTTTGTTATGGGAATTTTTGTTCTGGATGTTGGAGAACTTTTAAAACTCTCCTGACTTCTAGAAACAGAAAAAAGAGATGTGAACAACTGTACCTACACACGTTACATTTCTTTCTCTGTAAACGGACTTCTTACTAACCCTGCACTCTGCTCTCTTCTGTCTTTCAGTCTTTTTTCAGCCTCAGGAGAGGAGTTGTTGTTGTTGTGCGAGGTTTCCTCTCTCTCGCCATTGAACAGTTCAGTCAGGGACACATCTGTTACCGTAACAACAACCACACAGCCATCACTTGGATATCCCTATCAGGGTAAGAGAAAACACCCACTGATTGGTAATACTAGTATCGCATTAACTGAAAACTTACCTCTGCTCTTGGTTTTTCTGTGGCGGAGGGTGGCATGGACGAGGGTGCAGACTGACGCCCGGTTGCGGTGGCGTTTGCTGCGCTCCTCGTCGAACCACACCCCCGTCAGGGAGCGCAGACGTGCAGGGTCTGTCTCTGTCTCCTCAAGGATCCTGCAGCGTCAACACAAGGCCGAGTTACACAGCAAACAATCACAACTGCAAAGTCGGCTCATGTCACGCTAGGACTCAAACCAAACAGTCGGTTAGTCTGATCCTAAAACAGACAAGACCCTTTGTTAAAAAAAGACATGACTTGACTTCAATTACAATAACAAGGAGGGTCAAATACTTTGCTCTTCTATAGTCACCCTGACAGTAGACCTCTATTATTACTTAGTTTTGAGTTTGTTGCAAACATAATTGCCAATTAATTTATTGAAGTCTAGCAAAAATGAAAAACATTATCAGGTTTAACTCATCAACAGTGAGGATGTGAACTCTGCCTTAGGCACTGGGAACTCGCGATGAGCATGTCATACTCCTTCCTGATTAAAAGACTCAGAATGAGTAACTATTTGCTTGCTGATGCCCAAACTTGAAGATTAATCAACACAAGCAAAAATGGAGGGCCTCTCAGACCACATTGCCAATAATCAATAACACTGATATTGCAGGAGATGTTGTGCCCTGTAGGCAAAACAAATGTCCCTGTGTATCTTTATGACTTCACTTAGTGAGTCTACTCTCGGCTCATTTAGCAACCAAAAGTGTCAAAGTGGGCAACTTCCCCAACTAACTCAGAAGAGTCCCAGGTTCACAGTTTGGCCACTGACTTTTGTTCATAAAACTAAGGGAAAGTTCTGGATCCTACTGTTCAGTCTTTGTCTTTCCTCGTATTCCACTATCTTGAAACAGCTCACAGAGAGTAAGTCTAGACCTGCTTCAAATGTAAAGAGAAAACTAGTTTATTTCCTGATTTTGAGGACCCCATCTCATCTTGTGCCTCCCTGCATCAGAACCTGAATGATATCAGCTGCAATCGAGCTTTATGGTCTACACTGTTAAGGTTTTGCACAATACGTTTCTTTTATTTTTTTTATATATAACTATAACAAACTGTTTTTTTTGGTCAATTACTGGGGGAAAACTTTCACCTCTGACCTTACACGTCCTTCATCGAGGCGTTGCAGCTCCAGGTCCCGCTGTAAGACCTTCAGGATGCTTGACTGCTCCTCTTCTGTCAGGTGACTCAGATCCAGAGGAGAGTCAGCCGGCTCCTTTTCCATTCCTGAGTGAAGCCA